CCCCCCTCCTCCCCCCCCCACTCCTCCTCCCTCTTCTCAGTTTCTGGTGCCCTGAAATACTGCCTTCCAAATCCCCAAATCTTTTTCCTAATTGATTTGGAGGGTTTTTTGTTTTCCCTATTCAATCCAAATAGAGCTGAATCTTCTCCGAATTGAACTGGCGACCAAAGCTTTGCACACCCCTAGTGTCTGGTCTATGGGAAAAGGAGAGGCTGGTTCAGATATAGTAAGTTATTTCCAAGGCAATTCTTTGCCAGAGATGTGTCATTCTCCAAACAGGACCAAAAACATTCAACAATTCAGGGCATTTATACACATACTTTGTTTGATGCTACAAGCTAAAAATCTAGTGTGCAAGAGCAGACTCAATTAATCGAGTCTGCAGAGCACGTGAGTTGAAGCGCCCAGCGCTGCATCACGTCCACTTGTATAAATGGTGAAATGCGTGTAAGCATGCAGAAAATGGCAATGGTGCACTTTTGAACTAAAACACCTTTGATGAGTTTTAGTTCAAAAGCGCACTGCCACCATTTTCTCAGCACTGATGTGCATTTTGCTGTTTATGTGAATGCATGCGCTGCAGCGCTTGATCCTGCAGCACATGCATGTGTACAAATACCCTCAGAAAGGTACACTTAGCAGATAAAACAGTTTTATCTGCTAACTTAAGAATGAAGATAAGAGTCATTGGCAGGCAGGACAATGGCTAGAAATGACACTAATTTCCAGATTATTCATAACTGGGGAAAAAATGAAGGTATAATATTTATACCAATAAGGGACATTTAATACTAATTTCTGAGAAACCAGTAGGCTTGAATGTTTGATCCTAATTAAATTAACAAAGGTATAATTCCATCAGTTGTCAAAGCAGAAAAAATAGACACAAGGATAATCAATACTTACTTAAGACTCCCTCCACTGCATCATGCTGAACAAACTTCAAATTAGAGATTCTTACATTGGCCCCTGAACAGTCAACAAAACTGTCTCCTTTCCCTTGTTTTTCTATGACAATATCATCTGGCAGACCATAACCTTAAAAGAAGAGGTTAGATTAGGATAAAATTCATGTGCAAACATGCTACTGTAGTTCACAGCTGAACTTAAGAGCTCAATACCTACCACAACTGTGAAATTGGAGTTAGAGGCCTACCACCTGAGTTCTATCATCCTAAATTCCCCCTCCCCTCAATCACTTAGGCTACCCACAATCCTCCTTTTGATATCAACTTGCTCTAAGATGACATAATGGGTACCCTTAAAACAGTGGTTTTCAACCTGTGGTCGGCAGACACCTGGAGGTCCACAGACTATGTCTAAGAGCTCCACGAAAGATGTTTATGATCAAAAGTATGCAAATACCCATACTTACAATTCAAAGGGGTTTACACCTCTATTCAAAATTTCCAAAGGGGTGCACATCAGCAATTGAACTGTTTTAGGGGTCCACAAATGAAAAAGAAATTTGAAAACCACAGCCCTACAGCACACAGAGAAGGCTGAGGCTCCAAATGGCTGCTTCATCCGAACATAACTCCCCTTGACGTAGAGGGAATGAGTTTCAATGACTGCACTACTGACTTCTGTATTTAAATAAAACAGGTCAAAACCTGAACATCATTTGACAAACAGAGGGTTTCAGCTGAATTAATGATAAAAATAATTTTCTGAAGCATATGGCACCACTGATTTACTAAGCCATCCAGAGCCGTCAGCATTCAAATACTTACAGAAAAAATTATGAGCAGGTAAAGCATGTATTGCTTGTCATAGGCAAGAATTAAGATAAGGAAAGTGATAATGTGGCTACTATTAAAACTGCTTCAATCCTATCACTTCCCAAAAAACAACTGTGCAGAAGCTCCAGTTAAGTGTCAGAGTGTGACACCAGTTGTACTGAGTATGTAAATACCTTGATGTACAGAAAAAAATTAAAAGCAGTATTTGGAAAACTTAGCAGCTAGTTTTGAAGAGCCAAATACAAAATAAAATTAGGTTTCAACAGAGACAGTAAGAGATTCAGAAATTGCCATTCCCCTCATGTAAGGGTGCTTCTGGGAAGAATAGTGGCAGTAGGTTCAAAGTGCACAACTTCGGACAGCAAATGAGATATTTTCCCAGCCGAACTACTCAACACTTGAGAAACAGAAAGGAGAATTACTATCCAAAGATAAGAGCTTTGGGATTATCACTAATTGTAGTCAACCTGCTTTACACTCATCCCCGAAACAGTATCCCTAAGAATAGGGTTGGGGAGAAGAAAGCAGATAAAGCTATTCCACTTGCTCTATGGCACTTCTATAGAGGGCCTCAGGGAGTGAAGACTACACCGTGGAACCTAAAGCAAACATGTTAGTTTCTAGTGCTAAAACGGAAGATCCCAGATAAAGTTGTGGCCAGTTAACAAAATGTTCTCATTGAGAGTTAAGTAGTAAAAATTTCAAATGCGAACATTTTAAGTTCTGAAAATGTCACTAAGCTGGTACTAATAGCTGCCAATCCAGCTGCTATCTCCATCATGTTCCATTACGCATTTTTCCCCATATAGGACTTAAGACATTGGCACTGTACAGAAAGGTTATCATGAATCTGGGGGAAAATATGTATTCAGACAGCTCGAATACACCCATACACATGGAGTCAACTAAGTGAATTTTTTGTCGCTATACTAATCTTTGTCCTTTTTATGGGTGAGCTACATTAGTTTTGTGTAGGAACTAAATCTATGGGAACTATATGTAAATTGCTACAGTAATGTCTAAAATGTCAAGGTTACTGTTTTCAAATCTGCTCTTAACTTCCACATGCTCAGGGAGAGCAGGGTCTGGCAGTAAGGGGAGCGAGGAAGGGGAAGGGGCTGCCAGGGGAAAAAGTTGTGGGGAAACAGAAAGCAAAGGGCTACCTGACCCCCCCCAGATTTATTTTTCCTACTGTAGCAGTGGGAGAGGGACAAATTCAAGGTAAACCTCCAATAATTAGATTCGATACCTGGAAAAGTATAACAAATCTATAAATGTTTCATATATAGAACCTAATTCTTGGGGGAGTAGTCTTAATCAGGGTCATCTTCTGTTCAAGTAAATATGTATATACACACAGATCATGTTCAGTATCGAACTCCTATAAGCAAAGTTCTTAGCTTGTCTCTTACTCTGTTAGGTATGCCCATTGCAAGTGCTGTACTACTTGCAGACTCTCAGAATGTCCCTCTCACAGACTGAGGCCATACTTTTCAGATGAGGAAAGTAAAGTAAAAAAAAAAATAATACCTTGGCACAGGACACACAAGAAGTCGGGGGCAAAGCCAAGAATAGAGTTCAAGTACTTCTACATTGCGGTCTAGTACTTAATCCACAAGGCTCCATTACCACTAACTGGCAAAAGCCATATCATAAAGATATTAAATATTTACTAGCATGCTAACAAATGCTCATAACATAAGCAATAACTTTGTGGTATAACATTGTCAATAAGCAATGTTATACCACATGAAAAGGAGTACATTTTACAGTGCTCTCTCTCAATGGGGAGGAAGGAAAATGAGCTCCCTTAATGGCTCACAAAAATTTGACTAGAGTGGGACAAGTCTTCTTAACCAGCCAGTCAGTGAACTTGTCCTCCATGCGCACGTGCACACACACACAAAAACACACACACACCCTGAGGGATCTTTAACTTTTAGATTTCAGTAACTGAGGATTGTTTACCTTCAGCTTTTATAGTCAGTGCACTGCAATTTAAGCATAGAAGCTACCCTTGTACTTGGAAAACTAAATCCAGGCTTCATTGTATGCTCCTGCCAGTTTTTTGCCAGCCAAATAATTAGAAAGCGATTGAATAAGTTCATCTAAACACACGGCATGAAAAAAATCCTAAAAACTTGGAATAGATTTCTTCTTCTGAAGTATCATCCAGGCTAATTTGCAGCTGTAGCTATTATACTCTCATCCTTCCTGGGCACTGGTAACAGCTGAAACCAGTCCAGACATTTGAAAGTTGCAACGTTCTGGGTCCTGGAAGCAGGACCTCTCAGGAATGGCAAGGCAGGCAAAAAGGCTGGCACACTCCAGCCAACCCACTCCCTGCAGTTCGCGAGTCCTTTGAGCAGTTCACTTGACTTCTGTAAAACCTACCAAGGCATATTAGTTTCAGGCTCTTCCACACTAAAAGAACCTCCTACCTTCCAGTTCAATGGAGTCAGCAATGCAGAACATGCCATCTACAATGTAATGACCAGGGCAGATTATGACCGTGTCCCCTTCATAGCAGGCATTCACAGCTGTCAACAGATCACTATGGAACTAGAAAGAGACAAACAACACAATCAGCTACTGAAAAAGCAGCAACACTGGCTTGAGTTTATAACATCCGTATTTCCTTTTAGTTTAAATGCTGCTGGGTAGTGAAAACACTCTAGCCACTGCCTAGAGGAAACCCATTCAATGGCACCTACAGTGTACAGTCACTCCTTTGTGTTCAAACAGGGCTTTGCGTTGAAGCATAACAACGAGCTTCACGAACAGCAATTTAACCTCAAAACAGCCCTGTGAGGTTTGTACCAACCCCATTTGCAGATAGGGAAGGAAGTGAAGAATATCAGACTTGGAAAAAGTCTACAGGCATGCAGGCAAGCCTGTTTGTCTGTATCTTGAGCAACTTGCCTGAAGTAGAAAGAGCATATATGGCAGAGAAGAAACTAAACACACACAAATGCCCTCTCACTCCTGGACCTGGTGCCTCCAAAACAGGACTCAGAGGGTGCATCCCCAAGAGCTCCCAGGAACATGCATTTCCCCAGGGACAACAAGCAGCAGCATATACTTGTGCCACTTCTAGTTGTTGCCAGGCACACCCCTGCACGCACACTCTGATGTGCGACAATTGCCTTAGGTGGGCTAGGGGAGGCTGAGGTCAGCACCTGAGATGGTCCCAGCAGCCTTACCTGGGATCCTAGGGCCCTCCTGGGGCTGCAGCAGCAGCAATCCAGGCACACAGAGCCTGGCTAGCAACTGGAGCGTGGCTCTGGCCAGACAGGCTCCAGTTTCAGGAGGCATACTCTGCTGCCACATGCACCACCCCAATTTTTTTTGGCGCATTTTTTTTTTGACACTGGGATCTTCCAGTGTCAAAAAAAACCCACGGCACTGCCAGTTAGCAGCACTGCAAATGCCTGTATGTTTGGCACATGTGCTTTGCAGAGCCGCAGGCAGATTTGCAGAACCACAAACTGCACATGCATGCTCGTGGGGACATGCCCAGACAGTGCCATAGCAATGCAGGACCCACCCTGCCACATGTCATGTGTTCAAAGCCACCAGTATGGGCAGGCTAGCATCAGCTGTGACAGTGGGATTCTACTCTGGTGAATGGCAGAAAAGGATTAGTACAGGTCAACTTCATCTCAGCAATTTCTAGATTGATCACACATTTGTGTGAATGTGTGTTAAGATAGTTTTCCAAGTATCAGCCCAGAAAACCCACTAACAATCTGACAATCAATCAAGGTTTTTTTCCTTATATCACCAGTAAGTTATATTCCTAAAGCCATATTTAGACACACTAATATCTGAGCACCCAAATAGCTGTTGTGATTCACCCAGCTATAACTCATGTGCGACTAAAGCAAGTAAACAATTCCATTTACACACAGAACAGAATCCAGACCACTAATGAAGCAAAGCAACAAATCACAACTGCTAGTGAATTAAGAGACGGACAACTGAAACGTGAACAGAACAGAACCAGAACCTGATCAAGTAAAAAGTAATGCATTTAAATAAAATGTGCCCAGGTACCTTGAAACTCAATGTAAAGTAGCATGCCTTCCTCAGTTTTATTTATAATGTTACAGGGTAACAATGCAGGGCAGTTTCCCATTCCTGTCTCAGAGAGAAACAGCTTGTAAAAGAGAATTTAACAAACAAATGATAATCAAATACATTCATTGTGCCTTCCGACCTTACTATTGACTGCTTATAGTATATGGTATCTACTGTTCATGGCCAAGATTAAGTCCCCTCAACGGAAGTCCTTATATATACAGAAGTAAACATCGCAGACAAATAGGTTAATTGATAAAGACAGAGAACATGCTTCAAAGATAAAAGGGGACCCCCTGCTATTTTACCTGTATTTCTAGTTCTTCATCAGGGGGCTCAGGATAAAGCTTGTCCCTGAGCAGGGAGTGCAGCAGACTTGACATCATGGTAGAGGACACAACGTGAGTGATCTTGGTACCTGTTGGACGTGTGCCCTTGGCTTGGAGGCCAGTGTGCTTTTCATAACCAAACACATACCTGAAAAAACAATAAAGCCATCATGTCTTTCCTGAGACGAGAGGGGGAGAAAAGCAAGCTACACACACACACACACACACACACACACACACACACACACACACACA